AAGTGTGAGCAGAGGGGTTGCAGGGCCTGGTCATGTGACTTGCTTTGGTCAATGAAGTGTGAGCAGAGGGCACATGGGGGCACTTCTGTGGTCCAGCAGAGCCTCACGTGATGGTCACTGCCCAACTCCTTCTCCCCTTCTCTGCCATGAGAACAGAGTGTCTGCTCTTGACTCCAGACCTGGGACTGGTGGGAGGAGGAGCAGAGCTGCAGCCAGCACCTGGCCACCTGCATGAGTGGGAAACAGCCCTTCCTTGTCAGCCTCTGAGATGGTTTGTCCCTGCTCACAGCTTGGCTCCTGGCGGGGCTGGCCCCTGGGTGGCATTGGCAGGAGGGCCGCAGCTGCAGGGACACTCTCTCCTGCTTCTCTGGCAGTCTCTGGGTGTTGGCTGTGGTTCCAACTCCCGCCAGGCAGCCCCCTCTGAGGACCCAGCTCCCATCAGAAGGCCTGGCCTCTGGGCTCTGCTAAGACCCACCTCTCCCTGGTTCCCCTGCACCCCTGGCAGCTCCTCCTGCTCTTGCTAGTCCTTGGATCGCCTCATGGTTTGGTTTTCCTTGTAACTAGTTTTCCGTATTAAGTGGCCTCTGTGGAACTGCCTGGAGTGGCCCCTGTTTTTCTGGCTGGATCCAGCAGGAGAAACAGGTGAGCGAATTGAAGAGAAGAGGACTGCGGCTATCCGCGGAGGGAGCAGAACACAACATGTGGCCGTGTCTTGGTGGCGGGAGGGGAATGTAAGAAATGCATGGACTCTTCAACTAATGAAATATAAATTCTTCATCCTCAAAAAGGGTTGCCAAACGCCTAATTTCTTCCTTACACAAATGCATGTGAGCTCACACACAGAAACGCACATGTGTGTATCTGAGGGGCCTGCCTCTGTGCTTCCTTGGGAACCACGGTGAGGAAGCTTTAATCTAGGGACTCCTACTGAAGCATGGGAACAGAAAAACATCCTGCATGTTTGCAAATGTGGCTGCTATTATTGTCCTGCCTGTTTGCAATGTGACTTTGAAGCCCTTCCATCAAGAGGTGCGGTCTGTTTCTCCGCTGCTTGCAATGTGCTGACCTCATAACTTGCTGTGACCAGCAGAGTGTGGCAGAGGTGACGCTGTGTCAGCCCTGAGTGTAGGCTTCAAGGGGCCGAATGTGCTTCTGCTCTCTCTCTCTATGAGAACCCTGCCCAGCCACCATTGTGGACCAGTTAGGACCAGCCCGCTGGAGGGTGGGGGGCTCATGGAGTAGCATGAAGGGGAATCATGGCAGCAAGTGGAATGAAGTCTGCTAATCAGCTGGCCTTGGTATAGAGAGATTACCCTGGATGGTTTGGGTGGATCCAGTGTCATCACAAGGGTCCTTAAAAGCGGAAAACTCCCAGAAGAAGAGGGTAAGAGGGAGATGTGAACAGAGAAGAGAGTGTGAAGAGAGGCAATGCTGCAGCTCTGAGGAGGGAGGACGGGGCCAGGAGCCAGGGCAGGGCTTTCCTACCCTCCTGAGGCTTCTAGTCACTCATTTCCCACGTTTGCACCACCCAGCCCTCCTCCTTCCTTGTTCCCTTATCCAGCCAGGACCTGCAGCTCTGCCTGTAGTCACTCCTGATGACCTCTCCCGATCCCCTTGCCCTCTCCCCTCTGTTTTATAATTCACCTGGAAACACCCCAGTTCTGATTAGACCTGTCCGTCGGCTCTGAGTGTCTGGACAGTGCAGGAGACAATGACACCCCTGGGCCCACATTCTCACTAGACTCACGCCTCCGACTACAGTCAGGCCTCGGCACAGCCTGAAATCTGGCAGCCCTGCTGCTCCTTCTCTGAGGGCCGTGCCGTGGCGGTTGGCAAGTGGGTGCCTCTCTCTGTGGTTCTTAAAGCTGGTGAGGTGTTGGCTTCCCGGAGACCGGCCACCGTCCTGCGGCTCAGGCCCCTCCTCCCAGCGGGTCTGCCTGTTTGGTGGGGCTCAGGCATCACTCGATGCTGCTCCCTCTTCCCATTTCATCGACGTGTAAGAGTGTGTTCCTTTCCTGTGCCTGCTGTGACAGATCACCGCACGGGCAGTGACTTCAGACAGCAGAAGAGTATTCTTCCGGGGCTCTGGGAGCTGGAAGTCTGAAACCACAGTGTCGGCAGGGCCACGCTCCCTCCAGGGGCCTTAGGGGAGGATCCTTGCTCCTTCCAGCTTCTGGGAACGCCATGTCTCTCTAATCTGCCTCCGCCCACACGTGGCCGTCTCCGTGTGTCCGTGTGTCCTGTCTCTTACAAGGGTGTTCTCATTGTAGATACCAAGGCCACACAGCTAATCCAGGATGAGCTCTTCCTTTCAAGAGTGTTGACTCAATTGTGTCTTTTGTTGCATAAAGTAATGGTCACTCTTTGTCATAATAGCTTCTGGGAGCTAGGACACAGACATGCCTTTTAGGGGCCACCATTCAGCCACTAGAAGCAGATACACAGGAAAGTGGACACTTCTTCACTGCGTAGGTTAAGAATTGTCTCAAACCCAACATAGCCAGGGGGACAGGATGCAGATACAGACACGCCTCCCAGACATCCCGCAGCCCCAGAGCCTCCGTCGGCCATTGCTGCTCCAAGGGACCCACTACCCCGGCCTGAACAGCCTGGCTCTGAATCTTGCACCACGGAGGGAGGCATGTGCTCTGTGTCCGCCCCTTCCTGCTCTGCTCTGTGTGAGAGTCATCCCTGTGTTGTGCGCAGTTTCGCTGTGTAGCTGCCCGCATGTGACCACGTTCCTGTTGTTAACCCCTTCTGCCCTGGGTGGGCACTGGGCTGTTTCTGGCCACTGGAAATGTGCTGCTGTGACCTCTCATGGGTCCGTGCCTCTTGGTGAGCACGTACTCACTGCTGTGTGAGTCTGGAGGAGCAGGAGAGCTGGACCAGAGGGAGG